AATATAATAAACTGTAATATATAAAATCAAAATTATAAAATAATAAAGTAACATAAAATAATAAAATAATATATATTTTTAATATAAATATATAAAATAAAACAAAATTAATAAAATATAAATATATAATTAATTGATTTGATGTTTATGACGAAAAATGATTGGCATAATTTTCAAAACAATCAACACCCCTTATTAAGGGGTGCCATTAACACTCCCCAAATCAATACATGCTTTTTACATTTTTAATGTTTGAATGATCTGATTATGAAAGGATGCGATTAGCACTCCCCTCAAGAAACCCTCTTTTTCAACCAACATAGAGTTAGAACCCCTTTTCACCTCCAAAAAAGAAGACACCTGCATGCTTTGGTCAATATCTTTATTACCCATGTCTTCCACTATGAGAAAAGGTACCATCATTCTCATTTAATATATATATAGATTTTGAGGCATATCTTCCTCTTTTGATTTAAATAGCTGAATTGCGTACGGCTTCTTCACCCACTCCTTTCACCTTTTTGAGAATAGCTATTAAATCATCTTTATTCTCGGAGCAACCAATATTTCAAAAAAGTAGGGTAGGTTTGCACTTTTGCATCCAATATTTCCAAAAAGTAGGGTACGTTGCACTTTTTTAACGAATATTTTTTATATTTTAAAATAAGATATTTATTTTTTATTGTTTATGTTTATTCGTAATTAATTATACGAATTCAAAAATCGAGTTTTGATAAGTTGTACTTTTGCATATTTTAATGAAATAATTTATTTTTGGTTTAATAATATAACATTTTATAAAGATAATAATTAAGTAATCAGTTAAAACTCAATGATTATTCTAATTATATTTTAGATTTTTTATATTTAAAATGAAATGTTTATCTTTTATTTGATCGTGTTTATCTGCAGTTAGTTACACGAATTCAGATATGGAGCTTTAATAAGTTGTACCTACGCATAATTTACTTGTAATCTTGAGTTTTAAGTAGTATGCATTAATAAACAGTACTTTACGCATAAAAAGTGGTTTCTAAAAAAAAAGATCCTATTTATCGGTAAATCAAATACGAAATTTTTTTCTAGAATGCCTAAAATTTGTTTTGCACTTTCCATTGTACAAGCAAGATTGGTTGGGATTCCAACTCGGCACCTTTTGAGTGAGATTTTGAGAAGAGTTTTAAAAAAAAAATTCATTGTGATAATTTTTTTTTTGGGCAATTGTTGGTCATTGAGATTCATGGTAATTCGGATAAGGAAGCTATAAGTAATGCAACTATGAATCTCCGCGAATTCATAGGTTCAATTCCTACTGGATGCACGCCAATGGGACTCTCCAATAAGTTTAAGAGTTTTTGTCAAATGATTTTTAGTATAAAATATATATTTTTATATATAATTTAATTTAAGTTTAATAATAAAACATTTATTTTTGGTTTAATATTATAAATTTTATAAAGATAATAATTAAGTATTCTGTTAGAATTTAATTATTATACTAATTATATTTTAGATTTTTTATATTTAAAATGAGATGTTTATCCTGTATTTGATTGTGTTTATCTGTAGTTAGTTACACGAATTCAGATATAGGATGAAATCGGATAAGGATGAAATCGTTTAGGGATGAACGAGTTTAAGAGTTTTAGCCAAATGTTTTATAAGATTGTATAGATATATATATATATATATATATATATATATACTAGTGGTGTATCCGCACGATGCAGCGCGGGTGAATCACAATTCTGAAACATTAGTCTGACCTTCAATCATGAGTTTGTGTGCTTATTTTGCAAGTCGGATCGGTTTGGACCAGATCATAAAATGGCTAAAGCACATCCTCAATAGAGCCCAAATCAAATCAGACCCACATGTATGGAGTAGTTTTTAAGGAATTAGAAATTAAAGGGGGAGGAGTATGCATGGGAGATGGTTTTTTTACTTTTAGCTGTTTCTATGTACGATTTACCAAACCCAAGACATCCATCATTTTCAAAGCTAACTTTTTGCATGCTATCACTTTTATCTGCCACATCTTTAATACAAGGGTCAAAACAATTAACCAGATTAGAGTCTTGTCCAACATCCGATAAGGAAGACCTTCGGTCAAAGGAAATAAATGTGGAAGGTTGTTGTCGAGATAGACCGTTGTATAAATATTTAAAACAATAATCACATAAATAAAAATTTAATTTATCTCTCTCTCCAAACATACTTTTTTTAAGAGAACTATATAAAAATTTGTTAAAACAAAAGGCTGGAGAAAAAATATTATTTTAAATAATCTATAAAAAATGTTCTACTGATTTAGGATCTACAAAAATAAGTTGAAAAACATGTATTTTGTTTTTGGTATTTTGATTTCTTATTTTATTTTAAATTATTTACGATTTTGTAACGCCAATAATTAGTTATAAAATGGGTATCTTAAAATAATTTCAGTTTTTTTAATCCTCTAGAAGCTATTAATTATAATGATGTAGTTTTAAACTAATTACGATTAAAGATTTAAAAGTTTGATGAAAAGGGTCTAGAAGGTCATTGGGTTGTGAGCAAAAGAAAGCTAAGAAAGCTTTATGTCAGACATCTCTGTACGTGAAGACAGATATTTCGATGCATTTTTAGCTTTACCCTTTTTCTTTATTATTATTTATACTTGTGCATTTATTGCTTTGTCTATTCCCAATACATCATAGGAATCTTTGAAATTAAAACCTAACATTTACATTTGCTTGATTTTCAATTTAACCACAAACAGAAGTATGGTTGCAACAAATTTGAGATAGAGTGAGAAGCACCACCAGATCTGTGGTTGGGATCGAACATAAATGTGGCTTTTCTTTCCAAGGAATAATAGATCGAGGAGAAGAACCTCCAGATTTGTGGTTTGGACAATCCAATTTCAAGTAGAATTAAAGGGAGCAACAGATCGAGTAAGGCGGTTGGGTAGAGACGACCGGAGTTGGAGCTGTAGGGTGCCAACGATGAAGGCGGCCGAAGTTGGAGCTGTGGCCGATGGACATGCAGTTCCATCCAGATTCTTGTATCAGCAAGCAATCTCACCAAAAGGTTTGGAGGCGTCTCTTTTACCATGAATGGCGTTGCAAGTGTATCACAGGAAGATGAAGGGGTGGGGTGAGGGTTACATAGAAGGRTTGGGGATTTGTATGAAAGAAAGAGGAGTAGCCGGAAAACAGAAGAGTGGCTACCGGGAAAGGTTGGGGTAATTGCGGTGAAGAAGCTTACCGTACAAATGTGATTGAGAGAAAGAGGGGGGATGCCACACGGTTTTATACAGTATCACCGGTATGCATTGGGCTGCCAAAGCAAAAGCTTAATACAAAAAAGGCAAAAAGCAAAAAGCAAAAAGCAAAAACAAAAACAAAAGCAAAAACAAAAGCAAAAGCAAAAGCAAAAAACTCAATGCATAAAAGAGGAAAATAGGGGAAAGGAAAGCCGGAAAGGGAAGAAGCAGAGTGGAAAAGAGAAAAAGCTTGTACCACAATTTTATGTATTACGAAGAGTCAAAAATAAATAGACTAAGGAAGTGGAAGCGCTCCATCTTAATTCATTAATTAATAATTAATTAAGTACCCTCAATCCATTATTATTAGAGTATTTATAAAAATAACCGGTTTACACAATCTTTTGCCTGGGGCGATCCGTGTGGTCATTTCGATAAACCTCTAAAATATGGTTATTTTGTGACAAAATGTTGTGTAAACCGGTTATTTTTATAAATACCCCTTATTATTATTATTATTATTATTATAAATATGCAACCACATTCATTCATCTTCTCTCAATTCATCTACTATTTTTCGCAATGGCYCTGATAGAAACCAAGACAATAACCTGCTCCTCATCTTATGGCGATGATGACTATTCTTCTGTGGTTGACGAGGGTGGCTCCGGCATCCTCGACCACYACCATCCGCCCCTTGTATCTACATACAACGACCGTATCCGCCCATTACTCAACTGTGTTGACAAGCTCCGTCATCTTGGAGTCATGCAAGAGGGAATCCAGCTTCCGACGATCGTTGTCGTCGGTGATCAATCTTCTGGSAAGTCAAGTGTTCTTGAATCACTCGCTGGAATCAGCCTGCCTCGTGCTCAAGGTATTTGCACCAGGGTGCCGCTCATCATGAGGCTTCAGCACCACCCTGATCCTCATCCGCAACTCCACTTGGAGTACCATGAAAAAATGGTCCATACGGACGAAGCTCACATCGAAGATGATATCAKTGATGCAACCAATGAGATTGCTGGCAATGGAAAAGGAATCTCRCATACTCCATTGACTCTGATTGTTAAGAAGAAAGGTGTTCCGGATCTTACAATGGTTGATTTGCCCGGAATAACCAGAGTTCCGGTGCACGGGCAACCAGAGGATATCTACGAACAAGTTTCAGCCATCATCACCGAATACATTACGCCGAAGGAAAGCATTATTTTGAATGTTCTTTCTGCATCTGTTGATTTCTCGACCTGTGATTCGATACGAATGTCTCAACGAGTGGATAAGACCGGCGAAAGAACACTTGCCGTTGTGACGAAAGCCGATAAAAATCCTGAAGGTCTTTTGGAAAAGGTTACCGGAAATGATGTCAACATTGGTCTCGGCTACATTTGTGTGAGGAATAGAGTCGGGAAAGAGACTTATGAAGAAGCTAGGWTCAAAGAAGCGAAGCTCTTTGAGAGTCATCCATATCTTTCGCTGGTTGATAAGTCCATGGTTGGAATACCTGTTTTGGCTGAAAAGTTGGTGAAGATTCAGTCGGCGATCATCTCCAAGTGTCTCCCGGACATTGTTGTAAAGATCAGTGACAAACTTGCAGGTTATGTTGGTCAACTGAACAAGTTACCAAGGAAGATGACGTCTGTTGCAGAAGCTATGACGGCTTTCATGAGGATTRTTAGTTCTGTGAAAGAATCSTTGAAGAAAGTTCTCATGAGAGGAGAGTTTGATGAATTCCAAGATGTTAAATCAATGCATTGCACGGCCCGGCTATCAGAAATGCTGAATGATTACTCTGCCAAACTGCAAACCACGGCAGACATTAAAGACGGTGAGCACTTTCTGATTGAAGAAATTATGGTCTTGGAAGAAGCCAAAGGGATTGGACTTCCAAATTTTCTCTCTCGACCTGCATTTCTCGCAGTTTTAAACAAAAAGGTAAACGAGATTTCATCGATGCCAGTTGAATTTGTTGAAAAATTGTGGCGTTACATGGATGAAGTGGTGATAAATGTCATGAATTGCCATTTGGAGAGTTATCCGATGCTTCAGTCATCAATGAGAAGAGCTGCGCATAATCTGGTTGTGAAGATGAAGGATGCTTCTGTTAACAGAGTGATGGAGCTGGTAGAGATGGAAAAACTGACAGATTACACTTGTGATTCTCAATATAYAGWGATCTGGAACAAGTTGATAACTCATGAAAACTCTTTCATGGAGCTTGTTATCGATCATTCGAAGCCGGTGAAAATCAAAATCGAATGGCTGAATGAGGTTGAGGTGGGGCATCTGAGATTGTATGGTGMTGATGTGGTAAGACAAGCCTTTGATATGAAGATGAGGATGATTGCTTATTGGAAGATTGTGTTGAAAAGAATGGTGGATTGTATGGCGCTGCATATGCTTTATAGCATTCACAATCTGGTGAATCGGGACATTGAGACAGATATTGTGTCTGAGATGATGGCGCCACGTGGTGGTGGGATCGAGCGGATGCTGGAGGAATCGCCGGCGTTGGCCGGAAAACGGGAGAAGCTGAATAGAAGTATTAAGTTGCTGAGGGAATCTAAAGAAGTTGTTGGAAATGTGATTGATCAGATCGCTGCATATGGTGATTAGATGACCTTAATTATCTCTATTTTGTATTATGTTTGCGTGGTTAGGTTTTGATGTTTTTGGACACAACGCACGCCTTCACGGTTTTTTCTGTTAACCAAATAATTATATAAATATTTACTTCTTGCTTTGTTTTACCTTCAAATATATTTGTATTCCTTTATAAATATTTGATATAATATTTAATTTCTTTGCTTCCAGTGGTGTAGGGTCCAAACAACACATAGACCTCCATGAATTCCATTTTCTGATATGGTCTTGGGTCGAAAAGTAGGTATAAACATATACATATGCATATGCATATTTGAATAAAAAATGTAACCAAGTCCTTATCAAAGACAACAACTATTCCATGGAAAAGATGGTTTTACAAGAAATAAAAAATAGAGTAAATTTTGATTTTTGTGTATGTGGTTTACACAAATTGTGATTTTCRTATAATTTATATTTTATTGTTATTTTCGTCCATAGACTATTGAAAAACCACGGCCACAAAATAAATATAAAGACGAAAACACAGTTTCTAAACTATTTTTAACAAAACCATAAGGTAGGGGCTGTTTGGCAGTTGCTAAATGGTTTGGTGCAGAATGGTTAAGTGGTCAGAATGGTTAAGAGGGCCAGAATGGTTAAGTGCTGAATGAAATAATGTTGTTTGGTAACTGTTATCTGAATGACAGTAAATTACCATTTTAACCCTCATGAATTTATAAACGACCCCAAGAGATRCACCTATCATTAATCATAAACAATAAAAACCAAAACCCTAACTAATTCACTTGAAATAAGAAATCAGTTTATGCACCCCAAAAGTCATTAATCATAAACAATAAAAACCAAAACCCTAACCAAATCAGTTTATGCACCCCAAAAGTCATTAATCATAAACAATAAAAACCAAAACCCTAACCAAAATCTGGTTGGATTCAAGAATCAAGGCAACGAGTTCGTGAAGGAGACGATGAGCGACGGCTGGAAAAGGGGATGGCTGTGGAAGGCGACGATGAGCGACGGCTGGAAAAGGGGATGGCTGTGGAAGGCGACGATGAGCAACGGCTGGAAAAGGGGATGGCTGTGGAAGGCGACGATGAGCGATGGTGAAGCTGAAGATACCGAGAACAGAGATGTGTGAAGAGAGCGGCTAGCGACCGGCGAAGCTCAACAGGTGACCGGCGATGGCGACCGGCAAAGCTCAACAGGTGACCGGCATAAACGACCGGCGATGGCGACCGGCGATGGCTGTGGAAGGCGACGAGGGCTCATGAAGCAACACAAAATGGCTGGAAGAGAAGGGGTGTGGAAGGGTAAAGATGGAAGAAATGCAAACTGAATGGTTGAGTGAGGCTCCAGACACAAAATGGTTAAGAGGTAAATGTAACCATTAAGAGGGTTTTTTTTTTTTGCCAAACAGCCCTTACCTCTTAATCGGTAAGAGGTTTCCTCTTAATGTCACCATTAAGAGGCAACCAAACAGCCCCGTAGAGATGGAAAATTTAATTTAAACAAGGAAGTTGTCTGTGGGTCCATGTCCAAGGGTTTCTTTTCCTATGTCATCAGTTCTTAGCTGCTTCTATTTATATTGAAAAGAATCCAGGCTTTTGTGTCAAAGGCGTTTGGTTCCTCGGAATCCACAGAAATCTGATGGAATTGGAATGGTCAATTTTATTGACCAAATTCCATTCAATGTTTGGTTACCTATGGAATGAAATTGAATTCTAAAGATTTCCAAATTTGAAGAATTCACTATTCTTTACCAAATCTGATGGAATTGAATTCCATTTCATCCAAAAGTGTTAAAATGACACAAATACCTTTCTGTTCCTATTAAACTCTAGCCGCCGCTTCATGCTTGGATGTTATRTGTAAACACTTGTTGGTAACAATATTTATATATATGAGTATTTGATGTGTCAACTTGTATAAATGGTTTCGTTTATGATTGATTGAATTTTTTTTCACGTTTTATGTTTATATATATATATATATACATATATATATATATATATATATTTCAATACATTTTTTCCTCGTTAAATGTTAATTTTATATTGTTATTTGTATTTAAAAAAAATAAAGAAAAATATCGAAAGATATTTTTGTCTTTTTCATCATTCCATTCCAATTCTGTTGCAAACCAAACCATCAGATTTCAATTCATTAGACAGATTAAATTTCATTTCTACCAACTAAACACTTGATCAAACCTGATAACATTTCATTCCAATTCCTTTAACAAATTTCATTCCTTCAAAAATCATTCTGCAAACCAAACATCTCCTTAAACTTTATCAAAGATGAGAAAGATATAAGCTTAATTGTTATATTTACTGTATATAATATTATATCTTGAAACTTCAAGAAAGAGAAAAAGACCCTTTCCCTTATCCATTCCAAAACAAWAGAATCACAGTTTCTTTTGTGGTTTTTCTCCAAAATGGATCACAATGGAATAAAGTGACTGTCAAATAGTGGTTTTAGGCCTAAAAGCAAAGCCACACTTCTTGTGTTTTACAGTTAAATAATGAGGATTCGACACTAATTTCATTATATTATTCTATGAGAATTCTACATCAATACAAGACATCCTTATGGCTTCAAGCAGAATTTTCCAGGTTCACTGTAAAATTGCTGCAACTGATCCATCTTGTTTATTTTGAAGCCTCTGATCCTCACTTCTTCAGCCAATGCAGCAGTAGTTGAATCATCTTTGTCAATGCCTTCAATCCTCCACCCATTGTTTACAACACAACCTTCCACTTTCACCTGCAAATTCATATAACCGATGTTTAATATGAAGATACAACAGGACCATTCCACTGTTTTTAAACCAGAAGATATATGCTGCATTTATCAGAACTTGTATTCTAATCTTTAATACAAGTTGTTAAAAATGCTCACATACCTCTGCATCATCAACAGAATCAACAAGAAGAGCTCCATCTAATGAGAGGTCTTCGATAAGAATGTTGCTACCCTTGATGACCAATGTAGATTTTTGAGAAACTGAATTGTTTCCTCTCACTTTGCTTTTAACATCAGCAAACGTGACTGCCCATTTTGGTTTCCACACGATACGTGACCACACTTCCACCTCTTGACCATTAAAGACTTGCGTAATTGGGTCATCTACCTTCACACCTACCTGGAGACACACATAAGAAACTGGAAACCATCAGAAAACCGACACTGATTCAATATCAGATAACTTGGTTCACAGGGAGGGGTGGTTATTCAATGAACCATAATAAAATTCAATTGGGGGATAACCCACTCAAACCCATGATAAATCGCAAACCCAAGACTTGTCCAATGACTCCCTAAGTGGCATGCCATGTAAAGTGTACTAAGAAACTAGCAGGGGCACAAGAATGTTAAAGAATTCAGAGCAATTGTTCAAATTTTGCTGACCTTTCTTAGAATCATGCTGTTTGCTCGATAAATTGCCATTTCTCCAGAAGTAGCGCTGTGATATGGATTTCCCTTAGGTACCTTCAATTCAYGTCAAGCAATTGTCAATGAGAAAATAGGAAGTCCGTACGGTTAAAAGCTTCATCCCTCACAAGAATAGCAACTAGAAAACATACGTCAAACAGATGCTCATTAACCTTTCATTTGTTATTTATTTCAGATATACAGTTACCTGAAATCCATTTTTCCTCTTGCAAAGCTTTGCTTAATGAATTTGACAAACATTTCATTTTAAATGTAATCTACAATGAGAGTAAAATAAGTACCTTTGCAGCATCCTCGGCGTTGTTCTTTACAGGTGCATAAGCAAGCCATGTTTCTGTCACCTAAGAAGTYAGAAAATACAGTAAAGGCGTTAAAAYTGTTAGATATACCAGCATTAATMGAGGTTGCCCTCATCTGGCATGCCATTTAACACATTTTGCTTGACTATATATCCTCCTTCGCCTAAAAAYATCGAGAATACTAATTAAGCCAGAGAACSCGCATGCAATATACAACTTTCATGACCCGGTGGAACCTTTTTCTTGTTCTAGCAATTGTTTTAAGTTTCATAAACTAAACTGCAATGCTCCTTTAAGTTAGCAATTATAAGATCCAAAAGGTGGGCCAATAAAGAAAAATACTTGTCGATTACAATGTCAATATAGCAAAATGACATGAGGACAACTATAGTGAGATACGAGGCATCTCTGAGGCAAGTTCTCGAAAGTCACCTAAAATTATTGAGAACTAAAAGTGCGGTATGAAGTTTTACTTACTGTGAATCCAACCCTAGCTGATGGAGGCAACGTTTTAGGATAATCCTGCATCATACATTCCAATCTAGTAGAGGACTTGAATTCAGTTTTTGACGAGTCTTTGTATCTGCAATGCAAAAATACAGATTAGTTAATGAGCAAAGAAGATAGCTCAAGTTAGGATTTACATTCAAACAGATAACAATTGCTTTTACTCTCTAACAGCAATAAATCAAGTTGTGATTCATCATCTTCAAAGCATTGCATTTTGCTTGAAAAATCATCTGTACAAGTGCTCTTATAACTGTAACACAGTGGGTACTAAAAACAATGACAGCACCATATTTAGTTTTGGACCCAATACAACCCTGTAATTAATCATCTTGATTGTCAAGAACCATAAGCGCTACTATCTTATGCTTGTAAGGAAAATTTCAAGCTACCAAATAGACCAGATTATCATGGCCCCATGATCATATTTTGGTAAAATTGGAAGAAAGAGTATGTATCAAAGAGCCAAGAAGAAAGAGCGAAAGAAAGATGAGAAAGAGAGAAATTACTTGGGGTTAATAAACTCCTTTATAGCACCACCAGTTTTTGACAGCTCATCAATGTAAGGACCAAGTTCAAGAATCAACTGCATGGAACATAATCATAAAAAACAAGACTTCAAAAACACATCAAAAATCAGAACGAAGTTTTCACACAAACACAAAAGATCACGTGTCAAATACTTTTGTAGCTATCTATCACTGCTGCTTTTAAGCAATAACTAGCGATTCATTGATATCTGTCAAACTCATACAATTTTTAAGCCTTCCATCTGCTGTTTTAGGCTTTTACAAAATTTGGTGCTTTTACACTAGTTCTGTCAACCCTCCAGTGAACTACAGCATATGGCAGCCACATGGGACATGTGTTTCATTGA